TTCCCAGGAATAACCACTTCTTAATACAATTTTGAAAGCATTCAGCCTTAACTATACTGACATCATGTTGAGCATTGGACATTTTTTCAGAAGAAAAGCCTTTTTCATGCATACGCTAAAAACAAAAAAGCATCAGCTCTGATTCGCCTCCAGGTTATTTCAGTCTTGCAGAGGTATAAATGTTTTTTTAACATAAAGCTGCTGGCAGATCACGGCAAACAGACCCGCAGAATTAATTCTGTCTTCGTGTTTTGGAAAAGCATCACACCTTGCCTTAAAAAAAACCAAACCTGGCACTATTTTTATGCCCTACATTCCTGACAGCTCTCATTTGTCTGCCATCTGGCCCCACACACGCCCCATAAAAAAAAAAAAAAAACTTTAAAAAAAAAAAAAAAAACCACCACCCAACTCCAAGTACTGTCTGTAAGCCAGGAGAGTGAAATGCCATTTAAAATGCAACCGCTACTGCGTCCAAGTATGTTACCACATGTTTACTTGAGGAGTAAAAAGCAACTTCTTTTGCCTTAAAAGCACCGTCAAATTATTTCCCAGGAATAACCACTTCTTAATACAATTTTAAAAGCATTCGGCCTTAACTATACTGACATCGTGTTGAGCATTGGACATTTTTTCAGAAGAAAAGCCTTTTTCATGCATACGCTAAAAACAAAAAAGCATCAGCTCTGATTCGCCTCCAGGTTATTTCAGTCTTGCAGAGGTATAAATGTTTTTTTAACATAAAGCTGCTGGCAGATCACGGCAAACAGACCCGCAGAATTAATTCTGTCTTCGTGTTTTGGAAAAGCATCACACCTTGCCTTAAAAAAAACCAAACCTGGCACTATTTTTATGCCCTACATTCCTGACAGCTCTCATTTGTCTGCCATCTGGCCCCACACACGCCCCATCGACTCCACCCTCAACCGCTCCTTACCTTCTACTCCCCGGGGCCGCTCTCCCGGCCCGCGCGGGCAGCGAGCCCCTAACCTTGTGCTCTGCCCTGCCAAAAGGCGGGTGAGATCATCGCCTCCCTCTTCAAGGCACTGTTTTAGTGTTAGACAAAATGCCATTTGTCGAAATTCCCGATTCGGAGCGGTTTTGAAATGGTGCATCCTCTCTTATAAACAAATAGAATTGTTCTTCGGATGGGAGTTGCAATGAAAGGCATGCCAAGATACACAGCTGATAAACAATGCCTCTTAAGTAAAATTGGGAACACGCGAAGCTTAATATAGAAATTCCATTTATGGCAGATAACGCTGTGGAAGTTTAGTACTTCTAAAAATGGTCACCATTGTCCAAAGAGCGAAATCTAAAAGAAAAAAGACAAAGCGACCCTAGTTCTCCGTCAGAAATAAGTACATTTATTAAGGGCGTTTTTCAAACAGAATTTCTATCTTCTACAGCCTTTTAAAGAAACGCCAAACAGATGAAGGGAAGAATAATTTCAGAGGCTTTTTTAAATCCCCTTTTTTAGACCAACTACAGCAACTGGAAGATGCACGCGAGCACTTTGTCAAACCGGAACGGTAGCTGTTATTCTCATGTAAAGGACTACTTAAAATGGAAGGCCTGGGAAAAAAAATGTCATTTCTGTGATCTCAGGCGGCATACATTATAAAAGAGGAGACATTTGATGAGTTGTATGCTAAGGATTAATTTGCCATTTAAAAATGCAGAGAACAGATGGATCTCTTGGCTAGGGCTATATTTGGGAATTACCTCATTTTCTGCCCACATGCAAATAAAAATACAACTAAAAGTAGAACTTTCTGTGAAATTTCACATGGGTAGAAAGCACTTAAAGTCACAAAAATAAAAAATAAAGGACAATCTTTGTATGAAACAGGTAAAGCGCTATAGCCTAGTGAATGTAGATCACGTTGGTGCAGAAAATGTGTCTTTACGTTTGTCAAGCAACTATATAGAGTAACGCCAGCCTTAGAAATTAAAAAAACAAAACCAGTATCACATGAAAGAGTGGTCCTCGTCTTTGTCTCTTAAGAGTAACTTCTGAAAAAGCATCCTATTGTAATTTAATTCAGCAGTATTTGTTATGATTTAGTGATTAAACCTCCACATGGTCAGAAGTCCAGGGACTCCCCTTCCCAAAAGCCTGGGACAGTTCCATCACACTAATCAGGGATCGGAAAGCAAGTTGAGGACTTAGATATTTGTGGGAAAAACGCAAAAGTAGGGAAAAATGCAAATGAAAAATGCCTTACACCCTCACAACTCCCTGGATCGACTGCCTTTACATCCCCGGCCTCCATACCACATGGCAGCAGCAGCAGCATTTAGTTACCAGGGCTGGGAAAGGAGGAGCAGCATGAGGCAATTTAGCTGGTACGCTGGAGATTACAGGACAGAAGAAAAGTCCTCCAAGGAATTCCCACACGCAGAGCCTACATGCCCCACCTGTGTGCTTCCCTTACGGGATTTAGGGCTGACGGAGAGCAGGCTTTAAAACCTCCAAACCATAGCTGCACAGCGAGGCACAGTCTGCAAGCCACACATACATCTTCCTTTTTTCACACGTGATTTCTGAAAGTTACAGGGAAACTGCACACTAAACAGCAAAACCAACGTAAACTACTTCTGAAGTAACTGCTAGATAGCATCTAGTTGTTGGAGAAACACAACAAGCCATTCCTCACTTCCCACCGCCTCAAAACAAACAAACAGAAAACTTACACACCAGCATTTACCCAGCAAAGCCCCGACCGGCGCAGCACGTCTTCGGCGTATTCCCGGACTCTGAAACAGGGATAAACACAGCTCCACGCACACTGAGAAAGCCAAAGAGGAATAGAAAATTTGTACTAACCCGATAGCTTCCTTTCTGTGACTATTCATCCTCCACAATCCAGACAACAGGACATACCAGGCAGTAAACAAACATTGAAGGGAGGGACTAACTTCAAAGCAACTGTGTAAATCTTACATAATTTGAGGGTTTAAGATCTTGCAGCAACCTCTTACCGAACGAGGTGTCAGATGATACAAGGAGGTCAAACCTGTAGCAGCCGGAATAAGTAGGGCACTTTGCATCTCTCAGTCAGCCCAGCCCGGCACCATTTGTCCGTGGGGACCCAGTGCTGCTCATTCTTGGGAATTCACTTTCAGGAGGGGAACAGTGCCTTTCTTTCACACCTTATCGCACTAGAAAAGCTTTCTACTCTCTCAAACGGACGAAAGATAATAAAATACATGAATGCCCTTATTGCTGGAGATGTGCCTTAATGATTCCCCTTTCTAAAGTGTTTGATGAGGCTTTCATATGAGGTATAAAAATGATGAAGATTTCTGGGCAACTGTAGAAGAAATGAGGAGATGGCCTTGAAAGCCACTTCCCTCTCGTAGAAAGGATTCTCCAAAAGGTACTTTTGCTACCATCCTAGATTTCTAAGTGTCTTCTAGCCAAAATCATCGCTTTGAGCTAAATAAAGCAACTGCACACTGAACTCCAGACATTTTTCAAAGAGAAGTATATGAAAGGCTCCAGGTTTCACTTCTCCAAACAGGAGGGAGGACTCGTGGTTGGAAGGAGATGGGGTGTTTGTTTCTGAAACCCAGCAAGCATCGGGAAACGAAAGAGTAAGTCCCCTACCTTTGTTACAGGATTCTTGCGAGAAGGAGGGATTCACAGAGAAGTCTTGTTTCTTAATGTCCACGCACACTTAAAAGGGCTATTTTTGTTCTTGTGTTAGGCACTTAATAAATAATAATGCAAGGTTTTCATGGTTTTTATTAATACGGCATCTACACAGTGCACGTCTCCCTCCTCCTCCTTTTGGAAACTCAGCTTTTGCTTCCCTTAAAGATTTTAAAAAATTAGGACTACGTCCTGGCACCTGTAAATTGTTTCTCCTCTAACACAATATCGAAGCCCTCGCTTCTCTCCGAGTCTGTGATTTTTCCACTCGTAAACACGCCGCATCTTCTTCTCCGAGCAGCATTACCAGCTGACCGTAATGATCTGGAGAGGGGTATCTAATCGCCTGCTAAGAAGCTTTCACGCTTAAAACCTTGATGCCATCATTAGTGGTTTCAGCACTTGCGACGACGCAGACAGACTACGCTTGATGCTTGCACATTAAGGGCAAACCTAAGTGCATCAGTTACACAGTTAATTCGATAGGCAAAGATTGAGGGACAGTACTCTTTTTTTTTTTCCCCAATAAGGTTTATTTAGCATTAATTCACAACCCTGTGACCTTAGTTTAAGCACAGCATGCTCTGCCTGAAGTTGTTTTTAAGGTTAATGCCCGGGTCTCACAAATACACCTCGAAGAGAGCTGTTCTCCCAGCCCTTAGGTTTTAATGGGAAGGTTCTCGTCCCTAAGATATTACAGTGCCCGCATCCACGCCTCTGGCAGAGCCAGAAACATCCTCTTTGGGAAAAAAAAACCCCAAATCACTGTATTTGCAAGTCCGACCTTTAAGATGGGAAGGGACGCTCTATGTTTTAATGGAAACACATAGGACTGAACACAGGCGGCAGCTGGATTTTTCCTTTGATCATCGTGACGACTGGTATTTTTTCAGGAAGCGTTCAATACAGCCTTCCTCTTTTGCTATTCATCCCTCCACGTGAATATTCATTAGAAATTATTAAACTGCCCATTATTCCAAAGGTCTTGATGATGGGAATCCTCTCCCCCATCTCTTGGTGCCTGTAATGTATGTGTCTCCATCTGAGCTGTCTAGACTCCCTTCATCATCGGTGGAGACAAGCAGACACTTCTAGACTAGGATCCCTCTAATCTATTTTAGCGATGATTCACATCCGAGTTGTATTTCTCTCAAAGAAAGGGGAATCTGGACCATTCAGGCAGAGGGAGGCACCCAACACAGCCTATCGCACTACACGGCTTCCCTGCTTTGTTTGGCTTTTTCGGGGTTTGATTTTCCCTTGCTCTTTCGGCGTACAGCGGGAAGAGAGCAGGAGACAGATTTCTTCCTGCCTTCAGGATCCCTCGGACTAAGCCTGGCTTCTGAGAAGTAACACGGGCAGCTTCAACTTCCCTGACCTCAGCTAATTCTTTCCTTCCCTCAGCCTACTCAAGATGATTAAGCAAAATACTTGGAAGGAAATCAAAGCCTTGGAAACGCAATTAGAAGTGACCATTTTGTTAATACACGCGCACACAACCCCAAAGTCAAACCCAATCCACCAACAGCACCAGACCTTCCTCAGGCTGCAGCACGCCCGCGGGAAGAAAATCAGTTCCCAGCAGCTCCCACGGGCTTAACGAACAGCCCAATGCAAAACTCAAGAGGACAACGTCTCCCCCGACGCTGGCGGGAGCAATGCCTTCCATACGGCTCGGGTTTTTCCCACCGTTCCTAAAAAAGGAGGTTAGGAAGACCTGAAATTGCCAAACCTCACACCAGATACTGGCTCCCGCTCCTGCAGACCTGCAGCTGTCCACAGGTGACTTAAGAAATGTTATTTTTAAAACATAGCAGGTCCTCCTCCCCCAGCAGAGGATAAGGCAAATTCACACGAGGGTCTGCATTTAGCTGTCAGAAACCCTCATATTTGCTAACAAAGACTCTGATCTAATTGCAAGAAGCCTTTACAGCATTAAAAAAAAAAAAAAAATCCACCTCTTTAACAGAATGCAAAACAATAAAGTCATTTGAGATAATCTAAATAGTTACCATTGTAATAAAATAGGTGTCTTTTTGCAGGACCCCTTTCCTTGCATCCATCCCCAACACGATGCATTTTTAAGATTCCCAACCTGAAATTAATTTGGAAAAAGATGGAAATCTTTCTCTGCAGAGGCAAAGAAATCAAATGCACTTTGAAAAGCAGCAGCAGCAGTTAAGCTTCTGGACCCTGCTACAGAAACAAAGACTGACAGACCAGATTTAGATAAACACCTACTTCTGCAAATTTAGGAAGAGGTTTAATTGCTTCGTCATTTAGAGCCAGCAACTACCAACTACTATTGGGAGTACTGCGGGGGATAGGGGGGGTTATTAATTGCAGCAAAATGTCCACTCTTTTTTGGGCAGCTCATGTGAAGAAAAACTACGTATAAAAAAGCCACTTAACTTGACAATAATGTTTTGAAGGATTTTATTGTATATTCATATAAAAGATGGGGGGTGGGTTCTTCCAGAGGGGCTAGCAATGTTGAAATTTCTATTTTATTTCGCAACTGCGTCCTACCTGTTTCATATCATGGCAGTGGTGGTGTTAAGATGTGGGGGCAGGCTCCAAAGTTGCCCCTTTTTGGGGATTTTTGGGGCTCATTCCTCCGGCGGGGAAACAGGTGCTAATTTCTAGAGTGGGCAGAGCGTCGGGCGCTGAAGGAAGGTTTCAAAAATAAAAAGCGACCTGAAAATCAAAGGTTGAGACGGAGCCCGGTTATCTCCCTCAGACCTCGCTTTTACACAGGCGCTGCTGTTTCACCGCGTAACCGCGGTGCTTTCCTGCGCTGTGTGAGAAAAAGAATCTTCACGCAAGAGCGAAAGCCGCTCCAGCGTTAGGGGTGGGGTTTTGGGTTTTTTTCTTAAAAAAAAAAAAAAAAAAAAGGTTTTTGTAGAAAGCTGAGGTATTTT